GGCGCCCCCCGGCGGGAGCCGGTCCCTTTCCCGTCGGGGAGCGCGGGACCGGGGCCCAGGGGACCCCGGGCCACGGAGAGCGGGAAGAGGATGGACTGCCCGGCCCTCCCCCCCGGATGGAAGAAGGAGGAAGTGATCCGAAAATCTGGGCTCAGTGCCGGCAAGAGCGATGTCTACTACTTCAGGTACCGCCTTGGGGGGGGAGGGGACGCCGGGGTCAGGCCGGGGTCAAGGGTCAAGAGCTGACCCGGGTAGGGGATGTCAAGATGAGAGCAAGGGCCGAGGGGAGTGGCTAAGACGGTCTGGCCTGGTTGTAGAAGGTGCCTGAGCCTTTGGGTGAGAGTTGACCCCAGTGCAGTGACAGTCACAGTGTCTGAATGGCGAGAGCCCAGAGGAGGGCGTCTGATGTTAAAGGTGTTGGTGAAAAAGGTTTGTGAAAAAAGGGTTACTCTGGCAGGAATGGCTAGTCCACTGAAGGGTTAAAAGAAGGTGTAATTCATCGAAACTATAAAACCAGTCACTGTTGGCTCCTGTCCCAGCCTGTCCCAGATTCATCATCACAAGAGTGTTTAATCATGCACATGTGGAAGAATTAGCCATCTACAGTAACAAGGTTTCAGTTACTTTGTGGAATCCAGGAACGTTTCACGTACAGTAGCCATTTGGAATGCCTGTATTTTCTTGGAACTCTCTTGATGTTGTAGAACTTAACCCCTCTTGAAAACAAACACTGTAATAAGTTGTTAGACTCCTAGGCCAAAATTTGTACCCTAGGGGACATTTTGGTTGTTGCACCTTGGGAGGGGTCGCTACTGGCATCTAGTGGGTAGAGGCCAGGGATGCTGCTAAACATCCTATAAGGCATCCTACGAGGCCAGGGGTGCTGCTAAACTTCCTGTAGTACGCTGGACCGCCCTCACAGGAAAGAATTATCTGGCCCAAAAATGTCACAATTGTGGGTTGAGAAATCTTGGTCTGAATGATAAAAGAGTTTCAGCCTGCTGGTGAATCCTGTGGTCATACTGTCTGTGTCATTAACTTGGATGACCCAGTAAGCCAGGAAAGTGTCTGTGGCTATTCATGCCAGTGGAATTTTCTTATCAACAAATTTACCAACTTTTCTTATAAACCATCCCATTTGTAGAAAATATAACCATGTTATGTACTTGGAGGGCTGTGTTTGTGGGATGACTGAGTCATTTTTTAGGGAATATATATGGATGTTGGAGTAGTTGTCTTCTGCCATTTAGCCATTGGAATATGATATAAAGGATCTCCTTTTTCCAGCATCAAGTAGGTTTAATACATTACCCCTGGGAAGAAGTGTATATGCACACACACACACATACACATATGCAATATGGTGTTTATGAAATGCAAATACTCTTAAATAGATTGTGATTAAAAGAAGTATGTGTGTATATATACATATATACTACACATGAGAATGTGATCACTACTGGTATAACATAAATATAAACATATTCTTGATAGTTGCTCAACTGTATGGGTGAGTAGTTTCAGTAAAGTTATTTTACCTCTTTTAGTTAAAAAATAAATAAAAGTGATGTGGCCTTAGACTGTATTTTGTCACTGAGTCTGAGACCACTCATCATGAAATCTTAAATGATAAACAGAAAACTTACTTTAAACGTATGGAGGTGACAATCCTGTGTTGTATTTCCCGTATCATTAAATATTAATTTTGCTTCAGTGACACTGAGAAAGTTATTGTGGAACAAATGGTTACTCCTTCTCAAGTTCACTTGTTTCATTTAGTGCTTTTCACAGTTGTTCATTTTTGCATATTCTTTCATTAACAGCTCCTGTTTTCTTTCTAAGCAAGTAGTGTGCAAAACCTTAATGTGAGCCAAGTATTGATGTCTCGTAGCTAGTTATATTTGACGGGAATATTCTGTGTCTGGGATTGAACTCCTTGAGGAATAAGTGGCTAGTCTATTCTCAGTAGAGCATTTTAAACTTTGAATTTCACTCCTTATGGCATTTCTCCTGGGATATGGTTTGTTTGGTTTTGGGATGATTTATTTGTTCAAAGTAACTTTCAGATATTTCAGAGCTTTTTTTGTTTTATTTTCCTTGCAGTAGCTGGAAAAGTAATTTCAGAAAGGCAGATTGCTGTAGTGCTCATTCTGATCTGTGGTCACTTAATTTTTTTTTTTGAATGTGTTGTAAATTTTCGATGTTAATTTTTTGATACAAACTCAAAAGATATTTTATGGTAGAAAAACTGATACAAGCAGTTTAAAACAAACTTTCTAAACAGATTCATCCTAAGAAGAATCACAAACTAGTTTAGTGATAATTACTCTCTAAAGTCTTCTTATGAAGCAGTGCAACATGATTTCCTTTTTACTTGTTTACGCAAAATAAAAAGGCACATTGAACAGATTTGTGCCACATTCGCTTAGTTCGGGGCTGGAGGGAGTGCTGTCTATTGCCTGTTGACTACGTACAAATCAAATCGTAGTTACTCTGCAGAATGTAACATCCAGTCTTGCTTTCCTTCTGAGAGGTTACATTCTGAGGCAGGAGGACACATACAGTATGATGTGATACTTGTGATACGGTGGTTACTCTGACTTCTGCTTTCAGTGATGAAGTCATATTAAAGGTGAACACATTTTTCAACAAAGTGTCACTGCTTTGCATGTGAGCATCCCCGTATACATGCTAGCCATTCAAAACCAGTAGCTCACAAAATACAAGCCATATCTGTTAATAGGTGGGTTTGGCGTTAACTCGTCCGTTGGTAATGTGAACACCTGCACCTGTTTGTTCACACAGATTCTAATAATGCTAACTCCTGATTTAGGTTGCCCCTGGGGAGGTTAATTTAAACAAATCTGTGACTGTTAATGGAGGGAGTGTCTACGCTTACTAATTGGGCTTAAATCAAGCTCATCGAGAAAAACCTCAATTTTTTTTTTTTTTTTTTTTTTGCTATTTCCTGAGATTGCCAAGTTCTAATAGGAAGACTCGCCTCTGGTTGCCAGTTAAGCAATGTAACTATCCGTTCTGTCTGGATTACTGGTAGTATCGTGGCAGTTTGTGTAGTAACATCCAAAGCTAGTTTTTAAAAAGGCTGTGATTTGATAAAATGATGGATCTATTGGTGTAGTTTCTGAAAAAGTTCATTGCCATTATATGAACCCATTATTTGAACAATAGTTTTCTAGCTGGTGTACTTGACTCCTGTCATTTCTGGTACCCTGCACTTGCAGACTGATATGTTTGAAATATTGTTTTCCTCTGCATAGGAACCTTTAGTAATTATCTTATTGCCTGTTTTTAAAAAATCAAGTCCAAACTTGTTGGGTTCTAGACTCTTGGTTATAACTGGGTTAACGGCCTGGGAGTCATGGTAAACTGTTACGACTGCTACCATAAAATATCATCTGGTTGAATATTGGAAACATAATAGTAAACATTCTTGACTCTTTTATCAAATTATGATGCATTTGCAGCTGATCACTTCTCTGAAAAAAAAAGATAAAATGGAACCAGAGAACAATTAAAATAATCATTAGAAAGCAGGTGCATGAAGAGAGACTAAAGAGGTTTCACCTTGATCTGAAATTGTATAATTGAGGTCTTTAAATCATGAGTGATGTGATTAAAGTAGGAGTCTCTAGGGAAGGCAGCAGAGCACAGGAGTTAAGGGATCGGGAGTCAGCATGCTTCCTCTGCACTGACCAACCGTGCAACGACGAGCTTGTCACTTAAACTTCCCAGGGCTGTGGTTTCTCTCTTTGTAAAGTGGGTATGATTGTACCTGTACGTCATAGTGTTATAAGGATTTAAATCTAGAACACTGAAATAAATACATAGATCTCTTGAAGCTTTGAATATGTTTAAGGACTAATTAAAGAAACCAGTTCTTCAGATAACTCAAGCTGTATGGGCTGAACATATTAAATAGGTTTTTAAAAGTGTACAAGGCGTATCCCATTTGTTATTAAAGGTCAATATGGTGCTTTGAAGGCATGAATTCTGAATCATTGAGGATGTCAAAGTTCAATTAATCTCTTTCCCTGTTTTTTTTTTTTTTTTAAATAGACTCATCCATGTAGTCTTTGTTGGATTTGTCAGAAAAAATCTAGCTCAGTGGACCGGGGGTCACAGTTCTTTAAGTCTCTCTGACATTCAGTAAACTGTTCTTCATAATATTTTCTTTCTAGTTATCCACATTTAGTTAAATGTTATAACTCTCGTGTTTCCATAGAACCTGTGACTTTCTCACATTGGCTATGTTCCTCCCTTAAGGCACAATGCTGAACACACAGATGCTAAGTGTTTACCAATTCATATGACACTTAAATTTTTGTAAAACAAGTCTTAAATGCCTTCCTAGCCTTTGTTTTATATTATCTGTGATTTTGTGCTGTACAGTTGTCTCCAATTTGCAGGTGGTGGGGTTACGACAGGGAAGTTAAGTAATATGCTCTAGGTTGTGCTGCTGGTAAGGGCAGAGTTAGAATCCAGATGCAGGCGGTTTAACCCTGAAGCTCTTAACCACCCCGCTCTGCTGCCTCGCACAGATCCCTGCTTATATTCTCAAGTATTGCACCAACTCACGCCTAGTCTGCTTTATTGAGCTTCGTGTACCATCTAAAATAATGTAATTACTTACTACGATGCTTGCATCCTGAAGTTGACAAAGGGTAAATTCTAAATCCGATTTGGTAGTGAAGCCATTGTATCAAAAGATGCTCTTCCAGTTCTGTGCAATATTAAAGGGGAAAAAAATGGAAAAATTGTTGTAAATTAACATAATCAAAGCAGTTTTATTCTGGATAACATAAGTAATCATTTTGTTCAGAAATGTTTTTCTCTTTGATAGACATCTATCCTAGGATTGACTCTCATTTCTCAGATATTCAGATAGGTAACACATTCCCTAAGGAACAACCTATATAGGTCTTCTTCATTTAAAAAACTTTCACTTAAATTAGAAGAAATCAAATTGTAACTTGCAGGCTAAATGTAGCTTATGAGATAGTTTTACGTGATTTCTGCAAAAAGCTCGTGTTTCTTTCAGAGTTGAGATACAGTTGAAATGTACCCTATAGACCAAGTTAAAAAAAATCCGTTTAGTTAAAGAAAATAACAAAATGCAATATTTATTAAACACTTAATTGCATAACCAAAAGTTTTACTTGCTTTT